TGAGCTCAGCTGGGTTGCAGAGTGGGGAGGTCTGGGGAGCTGGGCTGGGCTGTGGGGTGGGGTGGGGGGTTTGTGTGTGGAGCTCAGAGCTCAGTTTGACTTCAGGAGGAGGGAGCCTCTTACATCCCCACACTCCTGCATCCCCAAATCCTCAGTCTTCTGCCACAACGTTCCTCCACCATCCACACATCACAAATCTGTGTCCTGAGCCCATCATACTCATCATCCTCACACCCTCCTTGCCCTGAGCCCCTCACACCCCAGAACCCAAACTCCAGCCCCCTCACAGTCACAAGCCTGTGGCTTGCTCAGCACAACAACCCTCCCCCTGACCCCAACACTCCTCAGCCTGGAGCCCCCTCCCCGAGCCAACAGCCCCTTCTCCTGCATCCAAATTCCCTCCCAGAGCTTGTACTTCTCACCCCTTCCCACCCCCAAATCCCTCATTCCCACCCCACACCTCACTCTCACTAGGTTTAGACAGGTATAAGGGCTGGGGATAGCAAGTGATGGAGAGGAGGGGAACAGAGCGGATGAGGCCTCATGGAAGGGAGATGGGGGGGGGTCTTGGGTCATGAATTGGTGGGTCTCTCTCTCCTCCCCCGCCCCCCCTTTTTTTTGCTTGACAAACCTAGGGATTCCTTGAAATTTTGAAAAGCTGAAAAGGGTTCCTCAGCCAAATAAAATTCGGAAACACTGGTCTAGACAGTGCTGGGTCCTGCCATAGGGGCAGGGGACTGGACTCGATGACCTCTCGAGGTCCCTTCCAGTTCGAGGATTCTATGAAAAGAACCTCAGGTATGTAGTGAAATGCTCCCCAATCCAGTTCAACTTTTCCTCAGGGGCTTGCCCTCAGTCTGGATCCAAACGGAACCATGTGTTACTAATCCCAGTTTTAAATGCAACATGTCTTGTTACATGTGAAATGCTGCCCATGGGGTACTGAGTTAAGAGGCACTACTTTCCTTTGGTAACTACAGCTGGTCCCTGAGTCACAGCTAGCCTAACTTGCTTGCAGACTCTTTGGACCAGTGGTTCCCAACCTTTTTTATACTGCGGACTGGCAAACTCATTCAAAAACTGTTGGCAGACAGGCACTGAAGTATTTGCACATTCGCTATGGTAATTCATTTATTTGCATTTTCATTATGGTAATTTTAGCCCATGGTCTATCAAGCAGATCAAAGGAGGGGGGACATGATGGTTAATAAGAATTTGAAAAACTGCTGCACACACACATTTTAAAAACCAATAAAATAGTTGTTAATACTTGTTAAAGAGTATTCTCCAGTCCAAACGTTTTGCCTCAACTGCACCAGAATTAAAGAGGTAGTACTAACACATTCTGCACATTCATATTTTCCTATGCACTTAATAATGCATAATGATAATGTGTGTACCTGCTGGCTGGGAGCAGCTGGAGGCCTGGAAGAGGCTCCCACTGAGTGCGGGGGGGGGAGATGCCCTTCACCCAGCACTTGCAATCACTGGAGCTGGAACTGGGGCCACAGTGAGGTTGCCCCAGTAGGTAAAGCCTCACCATGGTCCTGGCTCCAGCCACAGCACACCCAGCTACCAGCTGCCCCACTCACCCTGTTGCTGCGTGTAGAACTGCACAGGAAGGGAATTCCCTGGGAACCCCAGGGGGTGGAACTAAATAAAAACTGGGGGCGTGGCCCATCAGACAGCGGTTCATGGACTGGTGGTTGGGAACTGCTGCTTTGGACAGTTTCTCAACCGCAAGTTTATTATACAGCTATGAGGTGCATGGCAAGAGTGGAATCACAGGGCTTACAGAATCCAGATGGGTCTCCAGCCTATCCCCTCAATAGCTGAAGTACTACACACTGCTCTAATAAGTTTTTAGTTTTCCTCTTTCTAATCCTCCTGGAGTCAAACATCTATGGCATTACAGAGGACACCACCACCACAATATAACAGTATCAAAAGGGACTGATGAAGAACATTCCAGGAAGACACTGGGTAGGACTCTTGTGGGGTCATACTCCTCTCTGCTACGGATTTGTCTTGTGACCCTGGGTAAGTCATTTAACCCTTCTATGACTCAGTTCCCTCAGTTGCTAAATGAAGATAATACATTTATTTAGCCCCCCACCCCCGCCCACTCACATGGGCTGTGTCTAGACTGCATCCCTTTTCCGTAAAAGGGATGCAAATTAGACACATCGCAATTGCAAATGAAGCAGGGATTTAAATCCCCCCCGCTTCATTTGCATAAACATGGCTGCCGCTTTTTTCCGGCTCGGAGCTTTGCCGGAAAAAAGCGCCAGTCTAGACGGGGATCTTTCGGAAAATAAAGCCTTTTCCGAAAGATCCCTTATTCCTCTTAAAATCAGGAATAAGGGATCTTTCGGAAAAGGCTTTATTTTCCGAAAGATCCCCGTCTAGACTGGCGCTTTTTTCCGGCAAAAAGCGGCAGCCATGTTTATGCAAATGAAGCGGGGGGGATTTAAATCCCTGCTTCATTTGCAATTGCGATGTGTCTAATTTGCACCCCTTTTACGGAAAAGGGGTGCAGTCTAGACACAGCCCTGGGTTTTTTGTTTAGCCCGGGGAAGAAGCGCCGTTCTCTGTCTCTGCCCAGATTCGGATCCACGACACCCTCTCAGCCCTCCGAGCCGGAAAAAAGCGGCAGCCATGTTTATGCAAATGAAGCGGGGGGGATTTAAATCCCTGCTTCATTTGCAATTGCGATGTGTCTAATTTGCACCCCTTTTACGGAAAAGGGGTGCAGTCTAGACACAGCCCTGGGTTTTTTGTTACTAAGTTTAATAAATGAAAGGTCTTTGAAATGCTTTTGATTCCCAAATGCAAGGTGCTATGTAAATGCACATTGTCATGTACTAAAATAGACTTGCAAGGCAAGCCACAACAGCAGCAGCACAGGTAGTGCAGTTGCATGACAAGCTATTTGAACTGCAGTTTTCAGTGAAGCACTCTGTCAAAATACACTTTACTGAAGTAGTTCCATGGAGAAACAGGATATTTGAGGAAGGATTTTTCTGATTAAATTCCAAACAAGCATTACAGCTCCATGAAGGTAGGCTAGATGGGATGGAGGCAGGCTAGCCTGCTTGTTTGTGGACACCCCGAAGACTGACCAGGGTCACTGTGTGGGCATGGTCCCCAAAGGTAACAAGGAGCATGAAGTGTGCTCAGCTCTGCTAAGAGATGGGGAATGACAAAACTATCCCTGTGGTGATGCCCAGGAATCCCATCATTTAACAAACATTACAGTGGTGTCAAATGGGGCCTCAGCACAGGCTGCAGAGCATGTTGGCCACAACCTCAAAGGTGTATGGATACATAAGGGCTACGTCTACACTGGCCCCTTTTCCGGAAGGGGCATGTTAATTTCAGCTATCGTAGTAGGGAAATCCGCGGGGGATTTAAATATCCCCCGCGGCATTTAAATAAAAGGGCTTTTTTTCCGGAGGATCGGGGCCAGTGTAGACGCTCTTTTCCGGCTTTTCTAAAAGCCGGAAAAAAGCGGCGGACATTTTTATTTAAATGCCGCGGGGGATATTTAAATCCCCCACGGATTTCCCTACTACGATAGCTGAAATTAACATGCCCCTTCCGGAAAAGGGGCCAGTGTAGACGTAGCCCTTGAGTCAGTCTGGTCCTCACAAATAAACCTTAAAACCTCTTAAAGTGCATTAACCAAGCAGGGCTGGAAGCAGGAGTGTCAGGCAAGGCTCTTTGGTTAAGGAACTCTCAGAGGACAATAGCCCTGCTGGTTGCCTTTGGAGCATTCATTTCTGCAGACTTTTCCTTGTCTGTATTTTCTCAAGTACGCATTCAGCCAAGCACTTACGCGTATGCTTAAGTTTCATTGCTCCAACAGGCCTCAAGCACATGCCCCTTAATGCATCTCTTCTCCTCCTCATTTGCTACCCCTTTTCTCCTTGCATTTTATGGCCCTTTTAGGTCCCTTTGACCTGGTGTGGTGTCTACCTTTACGCATGGGCTGCATCTAGACTGGCATGATTTTCCGGAAATGCTTTTAACGGAAAAATTTTCCGTTAAAAGCATTTTCGGAACAGAGCATCTAGATTGGCACGGATGCTTTTCCACAAAAGCACTTTTTGCGGAAAAGCGTCCGTGGCCAATCTAGACGCGCTTTTCCGCAAAAAAGCCCCAATCGCCATTTTCGCCATCGGGGCTTTTTTGCGCAAAACAAATCGGAGCTGTCTACACTGGCCCTTTTGCGCAAAAGGGACTTTTGCCTGAACGGGAGCAGCATAGTATTTCCGCAAGAAGCACTGATTTCAGACAGTAGGAAGTCAGTGCTTTTGTGGGAATTCAAGTGGC